CAATGAATTTAGAATATGCTGAACTTTACATGCTTAGATCAAGAAGAGATACAAAAATTTCCATATTACTAAAAATATTTTATCTTAAAGTTTATACTGTTTAAACCTTCTCTTTGCTATTTTAAGGTTATTGTATAATAAATAGCTCCGTGTTGCAAGTAAGCTCTTTTATTTAATCTTGAAGAATAATTATTATACAAATCATTGTACTCTGAAGTTATGATTTTGAGTTATTTATTTTTGGAACTTTAAGTTATTTGCTATAAACATATATTGTAAAACTTTCAATGCCTAAAGTGCAACATCTCTATTCTAAGCATTAAGTTTCACCAGCATTTCAATAATTTCAAATTGTTAATGAATTTACCCAAATATTTAAATATATACCATGTAGCTCAACTTTACAAGTCAGTGACAAATTTATTACTTTTCCTATAAAAATGTTGCTAAAAATCTTTAATTATTTTCCTTTTATTTTGATTTTTCTGAAATCTATATATGTAGTTATTCCTGATTGTCTTTCTTTGTTATTATAGTTAAGAATTTAATGAACACTTTTGTTCAATATATTGTTTTTGTTTTTTTTTTTTTTTTTTGGTGCTGGGAATTAAACTTGGGACCTTGTACTTGTGAGGCTGGCCCTGGAACCACTGAGATAAATCCCCAGCCCTCTCCAGTTCTTTTTAAAAGGTATAGTTTTACCTAATTTTCATTTTTGTGCATTTTTATAATTTAGAAAATTTATTGTGTCAGTTTTTGTTGTGTCAGTCTTTGTAGATAGAATATAGGATGTTGAAGACAACATTCAATTTAAAGAAATTGTTTAAATTTAATTAAATAAGAGTTAAAACACTTTTTGTTATGTAGGGAAGAAAGCATTTATATCATTATTTCTTGAGCATAGTATGATCTAGGTAGGCTATTGATTGTTTGGAGGCTTTCAGAGTAACCAAGGCAGTGCATAGACACTGGGTATCCAAGCATCCAGGAGCTCAGCCTGGGAATTGAGGCCCTGGGACCATGGTCGGAACCTGGGCACAGATTATGCAGACACCGTGATTTACCCTCACCCTGAATCCCAGCAACATAGGGGATGAGGGTAGCTGTGGTCCAGGCTCTCCAAGGGCAAACCTGGCAAGAGGACAGAGGTCACCATGGAGGTTGGAGCTCAGCTCCAGGCTGCAGGAAATGACCTCTCCCACCTGGACAGCAGCTGAGCAGGAGACACAGGGAAAGACAACGTGACTTCCGTGCTGCTCCTTCTATGAGGCCCTGTCCCACCATGGAATTTACAGGAAACACTGGTCTCCAGTCCAGATTCTCCAAAAGTCCGGCTGCCTCCACAAGGAGGCAAAATCACTGTGTGTGCGAGTGTGTGAGTGTGAAAGTGAGGAAGAATTAATGCGGCTAATTTTGTTGTTACCTTGCTTTGTTAGTTGCCTCTAGTCAAGTTGGAGAAACAAAATAATAAAACATAGCACTTAGAGAGCTTTAAATTTAAATATTAAATACTATTTGTTAAAAAATGAAATGAGTAGCAATGTATTCAGCATAAACACACAATAAAGGAGTAGTTTGATGGATAGGTTAATACATCTGAGTCTTGGTCTCATATTCATGCATCACAATATCCAAATCTACTTGGAGATTTGCATAGATATGGAATTGACATTTGAAATAAAATAAAAGGTCACCCAAAAGGCATGACAAATTATAAGAAGAAACATCCAAGACAGAGAAAATGGTGGGGACACAGATGTGAGAGAGAAAGAAGAGGTAAATGACAGCCACAAATGAAATGTGATGCTCCAGTCATTCAACTATACCATTTTTCATGTAGAAAGGGATCTTCAACTATTTATTAGGCTACTGTTGCTGACGTGAAGGCATTCTTACTTCCAAGGATGGCTCAGTTGTCATGAACAGCACTGCAGAACCTGATTTGCATTCAATGTTAGAAAATCTTGGGTAAGAAGGCATCCCTCAGAGTGTCTTCCAATCACATCCTACCACTGATATAGAAATTCAGGGCCCCCTCATTTGGCTGCAACCCCAGGGTTACCTGTCAGTCACACAGCTGGAGATTGGCATTTAGATCTCAGAAGTACCCTGAATCTGTACAAACCACATGATTCCTAACTAACACTGTCCTTCTGCAAGTCCTGCAGTATAGTCATTAACAGAAACAGTTCCTTTATCCACAGTCCTCATCTCTGGGAATGTGGGACATTTGCACATTTTCCTGAGACAGTGGCTTTGCATTTACGTGAAAATTGATTTGTTCCTGACTTCATGCAAGATTCATAGTAGCATTTTCCTCTAATTCTCATTATGTACTTTGCTAAATCCTCCTATTGCTTTATCATCTTGGATTTTCATGCTCAATAATATATTTCAGGTTTGTTACTATATTGTAATGTAATTTAATAGTATTTACGAAATAAATAGTATTTCTTTAATTTTATATTACTGTTTTCAGGACAACAGGTGACATGATTACACAGAACAAGAGCCAGTTTTTGAGCACTGATTATATTACAAAACTTATGTTAGTCTCAAGGCTGATTAAGTATTTCCATTCAGTTTTATTTAATAAAATATAAATAAAATGAAGCATAATAAAATTGTACAACATCACAGAAAGGCAGCCTGTAGATGAAGCCAATCTCACTCCCAAACCAGAATGGAGGCTCTGCCTGATGTAGTTATCAGCTGTGACCACAAATGAGTGCATCTAGGGAAGACTGGGGCATCCTCCGATGCAGAATACAAGGGGTGTTGGTTTAAAATATGCTAACATGGCAGGGTATGGACAGACATGCAGTACCCATGAAATGAGGATATTGTCCTGAACACAGTATTATACTAATGAGACGAATCTATAACTACACATTCAAAATCATTGGGGCAAGAAGGATGTATTTTTTTTAAAATTGCTCTTATGTAAACAAAGTGTTAAAAATCTTGAGTTTGTCCATTTACTACTTTGAATGTTTATGTTTTGTATTTTCTTCTAATGAGTGTGTATTATTTCTATGGCCAAATCAAACCTGAAAGTATAAAACGTTTCTAGTGAAAATTTTGTTTCCACTTTTGAGTGTCAGTCATGAAATGAGCATGCCCCTGAAAAAGCTTTCCCCTGAGCCCCATTCTAAACTTCTTGATTCATCGTTTAAATGTAAATATAATACCCTATAAGATTATGTATCTCTGTGTCAGTGTTAACAGTCAGAAATAGAGTTTGACAATAACTTAGAGAATCACTGGACGTGGTGAGTATATTCCTAAAGATGGATGATCTTCTGGAGGAAAACAACAACAAAAAATTCTGTCCATTTAATCCTGGAACTTTTTTCCTTGGAATTAGGCCAAGCAGTCTTCCTGGGAAATGGCTCCCTGAGGGTGACCAAGTACTGCATGTCCATTATAAAAGTGTCCTGACATTTACTACCCTTGGAGGGAATTCGTGCACTGCTCTGTTATTTTCACAGTTTCTCCTTCAAAGTCTGCTGACAAAACTCCTTTATATATTTTCCAGTTCATTACCTTGTAAACAAAATTTCTACTATGATATAATTTTCCTCAGAATAAAAAATGAATACACTGAAACATAAATTTAATTTATGTCAGGAGTATAAGAGTTATACCAAAGATATTTTCAACTCTTAAAACAAATCTGAGAAAATTCCAAGCAGATACTACTGGAAGAAGGTTTTCTTCTTTTCAGCCCTTGTCTCACAGTAAGTATCATTCTTTAAATGGCAGGGGATCACACAAGATAAAATAAAATGAGAATTATATTGGATTAACATGCATGCATACATATATAAATTAAACCTTATCATGCGTAAATTTATGATTTGCAAAGCGGTAATGTACAATTGGTAGAAACAAAGTATGCAAGCAATATATGTTTTCTGAAAATGTAATTTATGCAAAAATTGATTTTGAATAGATGTTAACAAATATATATAATTATCAGAATTGAAGGTCCTTATTGACTTTATTCTCCACAAAATAGATGGAGAAGATATTTTAGATGGAAAGAAAAGAGTTTGTTCATCACTAATTCAAAAAAGACAGTTTCCATTTGGAGTAAGAGTTCTATCTGCAAGTTTTGTGGTTGGAGGGCTTTCATTTGAAGGTCAACATATGCTCCACTCTTCCTTTGTCCGAATTCAACAAGACCTTGAACTCCTGTGGTCGGATTGGAACATTCTTTTCAGAGGGACACAGTATTTTTCTGTCAGATCGTCGCTTTTCAGTCTGGTGCCTGAGGGCATAGAAGGAAGGGCTGCATGTTCCTGCTCTTGGCAGGAGGAGAAGGGGACAATCTTCCAAATCCTATTGACTAAAGATGTATTCTACTCTCTCGGTTACCACATTTTCAGAAACTTGACATTCTATGAGCCCAAGATTCTTAATGTGCCTCGGTGAAGTCCCAAGACTAGAATTATTTCAATTAGTATGGAAAAACATTGGGAATTAAAACACAGAAAATAATAAATAAAAACTGATTTTAGCATGAATAATTACTCTGTCATTCTCAGGTTTGCTGAAACTACCTATACCAGAAGCACAATATTATAAGCACGTTCTCTGGGGTTCTTCATACAATCACAGCTTAAACCTGTAATTGCTCTGATTTTATATTGCTAGCATTTTGTGCCCTTTTTCTGCACTAAAATACTTGAGAAAGAGTTCAGGCAGTGCAATATTTTCATGTGAATAAATATGTAAATAAAGGAAAGGGATTGCAATAGTATCAGGCTCATTCCGGACATGAAATGTAACCTTAGAATAAAAAGAGTCAAATGTCAATATACTGCCATAGCTATATGTAACAAAATATCATTTTTCCTATTATGTATAGATTTACCCATGAATGTAAATATTACTTAATTATACAAAATTCCACTCCTGAAAATGAAAACATTTTTTTAAATCAATGAATCTAAGTAATAACTTGGATTATTCAACTGTTAGTGCAGCAGGACAGGATGGATAAATGGAACTCCACCAGCGTGCATGACTTCATCCTCATGGGGCTGACGGACTCTGAAGAAACACAGCTCATCTTCTTCCTGGTCTTTCTGCTGATTTACCTGATCACGGTGCTGGGGAATGCAGGGATGATATTGATCATTCGCCTGGATCCCCAGCTGCACACCCCCATGTACTTTTTTCTCACTCACCTGTCATTTCTTGACCTCAGCTATTCAAGTAGCATCACCCCTAAAAACTTGCAGAATTTATTGTGTTCTAACAAGAGCATCTCCTTCCTGGGCTGCTTCACCCAGATGTTCTTTTTTGTTGTCTTCGTTGCTGCTGAATGTTTGCTTCTCTCCTTGATGGCCTATGACCGCTATGTAGCTATCTGCAACCCCCTGCACTATCCAGTCATTATGTCCACAAGACTCTGCTCTGCCCTGCTTGCTGGCTCCTATGTTATTGGCTTTGTGGACTCCACTGTGAATGTGGTTTTCATGAGCAGGCTGCATTTCTGCAAGTCTAATGTCATCCAGCACTTCTTCTGTGACATATCCCCAATTTTAGCCCTGTCATGCAGTGACACATTTGAGGTTGAACTCATTATATATATTTGTGGTGGATCCAACTTAGTGCTGTCCCTTATTATCATATCTTTATCCTATCTGTCCATCCTCTCCACTATCCTGAAAATTAATTCCACTGAAGGAAAGAAAAAAGCCCTCTCCACCTGTGCCTCCCATCTTCTAGGAGTCACCATCTTCTACAGCACTATGATCTTCACTTACCTAAAACCTAAGACGTCCTACTCCTTGGGAAGGGATCAGGTGGCTTCTGTGTTTTACACGATTGTGATCCCCATGCTGAACCCCCTCATCTACAGTCTCAGAAACAAAGAGGTGAAAAGTGCTGTTGTTAGAATCCTGCAGAAGAGAGAGGGTTCTAGACAATTAAAATAACATTGATGCTAGGCATTTACAGTTGCTCCCTCCTTTTTTCCTGGGAAATTCTTTGGTCTGTTTCTGTAAACAGCTGATATTTTTTCCTCTCCACTTGCCCTTGACTTAAGCATAGACATTTCAAAGAACATGTGTTCACAAATTCATACTGTAATTTGTAGTCTGAATTAAGTGCTAAACCTATGATCTAAAAAGCTGTGATTTAAGAGCAATTATTTTCCAAAAAGAAAAAACTTGCAATTTTAGAACTATATTATATAATATTAGTGCATACTTCAGTGGTAGAGAATTTTAAAATGAACAAGCATTATATTTTCCAGAAATCTTTCTATTTATAGAGATTAACAGCAACTGATTTAAAGCATTCTTTTTCAATCAAATTTCCAGCATCTAGATCTGGTGCATTTCAACCTCCATGAATTTACCGTAAGCAAAGTTCCAGGATTCCCACCTGCCAGGTTATACAGAAATTCCACTTCCTTCTAAGTAGAAACAGGATGTAAAACCTTTCAGAAATAACAATAAATACTGATGAATGTCATCAGAAGAACAACAGCCTTATAATATTTCCATTAAGAATACATATATTGCCAGGGATTTAGTTCAGCAGTTTGGTGGCCTGCCTCGCAAGCGCAAGGACCCGAGTTTGATGCCTGGTTTCAAAAAAAAAAAATCTAAATATATTGCTTCCAGTATAAAAATCTCTAGAACTCAATTTAAATTACAAAGAGCAAAAAGCAAAACAAGGCAGTAGTTCCCGATTTTGAGATATAAGTAAATAGTATATCAAATTAATGTTAAGTTATAGGAAAGTGGTATATCTTGAACTTCAAGGCAATTTGGAAAATAATTATTAAAGAATAGAGAAGCACTTTATTAATCATTGACAGTTTTGTGCATGTTTTCCAACATCATTGGTTATGAATGTGTGTCTGCATTTTAAAATGTAAATCCTGTCATGTATAATCTCTGCTAGTTTTCTTCACTTATTTTAAATTTTATTCTCTAATAATCTTTGTCTACTTTACACCTGTCAGATTCACATGTACTCAGTACATGACCAAAATCACCACTCTCATTGCACAGTGCTGGAACCTGAAAAGGCGCGAATGTGATCAGTGAGCAGCAGTAGCTGTCAGCTGTGCTCCTGTGAGCCCTGTGGAGAGCAAACCTTTCTGTGACCTGACAGGGGTTTCAGTCACAGCTTCTTTGCCTCTCTCCTGATGTTCTCGGATGTGTGGTTTTCCTTAAATTAAATCAGTGATGTTCTTGTTTGCCTCACTTGTTATGCTTTTCAAATAAAGCTGTTTGGAAGGAATGATTTGACAATGAATTTAGAATATGCTGAACTCTATATGCTAAGATCAAGAAGTGATACAAATATCTCCAAATTGCTTAAAATATTTTATCTCAAAATATATAATGTTGTTTAAACCTTCTCTTTGCTATTAGAGTTACTGTATAATAAATAGCTCCATGTTGCAAGTAAGCTCTTTTATTTAATCTTGAGGAACAATTATTATACTGATGATTGTGCTCCTAATTTGTGATCATAAAAATCACTAATATTTTGTAAAAACATATTACCATATTTTTGATGCCTAAAGTACAACATCTCTATTCTAAGGATTAAGTTTCATTAGTGTTTTAGTACTTTAATACTGTTCACTAATTTATCCCAATATTTAAATATATCCTTCATTGTTCTATTTTTTGAACCAGTGACAAAATTATGACTTTACTTATA